ACACTAGGTAAAGGATATACACAAACTATAATGCAAAAGGAGCAAAGATGTCAGAGGATTGTTTGGCTGGAGGATTTTCTCATCCTTCTTGTTTTTCACCAGTTGGTCTAACAGATGACATGAATGCTGATAGCTAGTCTCCTTAAAACAGACCATGGCCAAAAAGCCAAGGGAATGGGTGTGCCATGTAAAGGCTGAACAAGCAGGAGGCTAAGATGTCTTGACTCCTAGAGGTGTTTGTTCCCCACTCATATACTGAAAGTCAAAATTTGGGTCACCTAAGCCCCCGTGGGTTTCTTTAGATGTTAGAGGGCGGAATAGAAAAAACAAAACAAAACAAAAAAATAGCTCCAGGCAAGAGTATCCAGGCTTTAAGTCTCTGTTAGGTAAGGACTTGGTGATAAGATTATATCCTGCCATTTTGGCATGAAGGGTGTCATTTGTACCCAGGTACAATTTATTAAATATTTACAGAAAAATAGGTTTGGAATGCAAGATCTGTCCCAGCAATGATGACCTAAGAATATCAATAAAAGTTCCCTGTTGCTTTTCTCTTATAAAGCATCACACTTCTTCCTAGAACTATGAGGATATTGGGGTGGGAATAGGTATTACCGTTCATCCAGCCTTTGTCTGGGAAGCATAAGTATAATTTTTTAGCAAAGAAAAGATTCTTATTTTGGAGGGAACAAATATTATTTGATTGTTCTTTCAATTAATGACCAATTTCACCATCACAAATTGTTTACTGAATATCTTTGTTGTTTGACATAGTACTAAGGTTAAAATAGGAGAAAGTGACATGCTGTCACCCAGGAAATATCATTTTACAAACATTGCCATTGTTACATTGCCAAGAGCCCATTCATAGGTTAGGTTATTGTGAAGTGAGGGAAATCAAGCTAAATATACACATCATGTGGGTAAAAAATACACTTCTCCATGAAATAGCTAGTACTCAAAGAAAAAGTGAAGTATGGAATATGAATTTCACACAATTGTCCAAATTTTCTATTGTTTTTCAACTCAAACTGATTCAATAAAACAAAATTAAAAAAAAAAAAAAAACAAAAAGAAAAAACAAAAAGGAAAACAGCCATTCTAAAGAAAGATGTCTAAAAACTAGGTGATTTTCTCTGATGATCTTCCCCCAAAGTGAAGTTATTTTTATTGCTTCTGAGAAGCATGTAATCATTGGTGAGTTGACGAATGAGAAATAAAAGATTATTCTCAACCCCAAATTTAACTGCATTGTCATATATGTAAAAGGGAGAAATTTATGACATCACTGGCTTTTAACAGAAAGAAGTATTATGAGATGTTGGAAAATTTTCCTAGGGAATTTTAATTCTTTCTCACTTTCTATTTTAGTAATGAAGCACTGGATTCATGAAAGAGAAAGAATATTCTTTGTGAGTTTATTGGTCTTCTTGTGGTAGTCTCCTGGGAAGTAACTGTGATGATCCCATCAGGAATCATGCAGAGAAATGGCCTGTGCAGCTTCACAGTTGAAAAAGACCCACATTATACTCTCTGGCATTACATGGAATCACAAGAAAAGTAAAAGGAGTCTAAAGATAACATCAGTCATTAGCGACTATCCCTCTGTGCAGAAACTATACAGTTGCTTGCACTTTTATAGGCAACGAATAATGATTAGGATCTAAAGTAAACTGTTTTTCTTTTTGGTCATTTATCCAATGAAGAGTTGACCTTACTTAACAGACTTACCATATTTTTCCTGCTGGATACCGGACAGCACTATGGAAATGATTCCTTGTTCACATTCAATAAATTCAAGAATGAATTCATCTCTCTCCTTTTCTTTACCTCTCTCTCTACAAGCTCTGAACATGCGCACGCGCACACACACACACACACACACACACACACACACACACGCAGTTCTACCCCCTCACTTCCCCATTTCTGTTCACATCATCATTTTCAGGTCACCAGGTTCAACACCCTTGTGTCATTTTGCCTGGTCATGTTTCCCTACCCATCCAAAAGTTTTATGTTTTCGGAAGATGATGGAAAGAAAATGAGAAAAAAAAAGTAAAGGTAAGGGAAAATGGAAGGCAAATGTATAGAGCTATTCCCCTTCATCACAAATTTACCAGGAGAATGTATTACTTGTAGAAACAGAAGGTGCCACTATCATCTATAATTTTCTTTTCTTTCTGCTGACTTTTTCTATAATTTAAGGTTTGGTCTTAATGAACTAGTATTTCCTTAGCCCTGAGCATTTAAAATGCCAGTATAATTGACACTTGGTTTTACTAGCTGTAAGTATATAGAACCAAAGTATCTGAAATTAAAATTTTTGAAACCAGTCAAAAATCCAGTCATTCAAAATATGCTATTAAACATTCAGAGAGATAACTGAATTGGCCTTAGGTCATGAAGACATCATCAGTAAATGGCAATCCTAGTGCTAACAGGATTCAACACAAATTCAGGTGTTTATTTCATAATGAGGAAAAACTTGGGCACAGAGATAAGATGAATCTCTTGCTTCAAGAATCAAATGTGGTACTGTGCAACTAAATTTCCCTGGAAATACAAGACTTGCTTAATGAGCAAATGGCAAATATTTTGCAAATGTCCCTTTCTGGTGGAATTTACCTTGGGCATGAATAGATTGTATTATATAAGACTCTCGTCCAAGAGGGACTTTTTAAAATGAATTTAAATATATTTTTCTGCTTGCACTTTCCAAAAGAGTAGGGCAGTAACACTAAGCACAGATTAAAATGAGTGCAACTGATAACAATAGCTGTTTTCAAGTCTGGGCTCCAGGGCATCAATATTGATTGGAAGGACATTAGGGCAGAGATCAGGAAACCGGGGCTCTAGTTCAAGCCTGCTCTTAAGAAGCTGTGTGACCTTAAGGACAGAAGTAGACTTCCCTTTGTGGAATAGATTCAGTTTTCTATTAGTAACTGGAAAATTGAAATGTTTAGATAAAGTAGAATCAAACAGACTTCCGTCTTTGACATCCTGTCTAAGTGCTTGTAAGTTCTATGGGTTTATGTTTATGTGCAGATTGTTTATGTTAAGATTGTCTGATCTGTAATCTCCTCTCCCAGACAGAACAATTACCTTTACCTACTTTTGCAAAAAGGCCACTGACACCGAAGATTTGTTGTTTTATAAATCCACAAGAATTAATATGGTGTTTAGATGAGGCTTATGCAAAATAAAGTGGTCCAAAAACTTAAAATATGAAAGAGATAGTCTATACATAAAATGAAAGAAAAAAAGGTGGTATTTGAGTGATATTTTTAATCAAAATTCAAAATGACAATCAAAGCCAACATTTTTTCTTTCCTGGCACCTATCCTTGAGCTATCTGAGATGGAGAAAACTCCCATGTTACCCTGTACCCTAGGAAATTCCCATTATACATAAAGTAAACTGCAGCTTTGTGTTGCTTTAGCAAATTGTGCACTGTCTTCAGAAACTCAAGAAATTTAATTCTCTATGTATACCTCACTCTTATTTTATAGTCTTTATTGTTTTATTGTGCCTCACAATATCTTAGACTTGCATTTATGAGGTACTGAATTTACAATTGGAGAAAGAGAATTGAAAAAACATCACTATGAAAAATCTACTCATCCTTCCTTCATTCAATAAAATCACATTTATTGAGCACCTGGTATATAGAGATGCTGTGGGGGATAAAGAAATTCTTTAATGTAATAAAGAAATTACCTTAACAATAATAAAGAAATAAAGAAATTTACAGTCTAAAAGGGTAGAATGACATGACACAGTTATTGTATGAATGGATCACCTGCATGTTGCCTAGAGTGCTTGAGACTCCCGTATAACATAAAAAAATGCTACTTAATGCATGATCATAATTGGACAATTTCACAGCCTCTTAAATGGGCAGATGGCCTTTGGAGGGGTATAAAAAGAAAAGAGATTTTCTTTTTCATTAATGGACGGAGAGGACCCTGTATGGCTGCCAGACTTCTTTCTTTGGTTCTGCCATCAAATTATTCCATTGTGATTAAACATTTTCCTCATTTCTTTTCATTAACCCTTATTCTTAACATAAAATAATTTGCTTCTAAGCCATCTTAGTAAATGGAAAAGCGATAATGTCCAATTGCAAGAAAATGACCCTGAAGCATTTTAAAACATCATCAATATTTATGTATTTTGGAAACAACAAACAAAACATACTGCTGCCATTCCCTTATTTATATCTTCAAACAACCCAAAAATTGTTATTTAAAAATTATTTAACCTTTATCAAAAAGTCCCAAAACAGTAAATGTTGTTGTGGATTTGGAGAGATAGGAACACTCTTACACTGCTGGTGGGACTGCAAACTAATGCAACCTCTGTGGAAAGTAATAAGGAGATACCTCAAAGAGATATAAGTAGAACTACCATTTGATCCAGCAATCCTATTACTGGGCATGTACCCAAAAGAACAAAAGACATTCTATAAAAAAGAAATCTTCACTCAAATGTTTATAGCAGCACAATTCACAAATGCAAAGATGTGGAAACAACACAAATGCCCATCAATACATGAGTGGATTAATAAAATGTGGCATATGTATACATGGAGTTCTACTCAGCCACAAAAAGCAATGGTGATCTAGCACCTCTCGTATTATCCTGGATAGAGCTGGAACCCATTCTACTAAGAGAAGTGTCACAAGAATGGCAAAAACAAGCACCACATGTACTCACCAGCAAACTGGTATTAAGTGACCAACACTTAAGTGCACATATAGTAATAACATTCATTGGGTGTCAGGCAGATGGGAGGGGGCGGGGGGAATGGGTATATACACACATAATGAGTGTGATGTGCACCATCTGGGGGATGGACACACTTGGAGCTCTGACTCGGGTGGGGCAGGGGCAATATACATAACCTAAACATTTGTATCCCTATAATATGCTGAAATAAAAAAAAATTTTAAATCATGAAACTTGTGTCATTCTTTGTACTCTCTGTGATAACTCACCTCGGTCCTGATTCCGGTGACGTTTCCAGTATAATAAGATTGAGATTAAGACCAGAAGAATTACCAGGGAAACAATGCTTAGCAATAGCGGAATTGAAAACCAGTAGCCTATGGGTATTGAAGAAAGAAAAAGGAAAATGAAGTCACATGAGGATGTTGTTGAGGCAAAAAGTGATAAAGCTCTATTTATGATGAGTCTTTACTAGAGTTGAGCTCTCAGTTAAAATTATCCTTAAATTCATACATAAGGAAGTCTATATTCATGACTTCACATTATTTTAATAACATTTAGATATTAGTAATATCTAGCATGCTTTATCTGGCTACTACATAATAACAGCTTCAATTGTATTATCTCATTAAATCCTTAAAACATCCCAATAGTTAGGTATTATTATTATCTAACAGATTAAAAAAAAATTGAGGCTCAGAAAAGTTAAGTAAGATCATGGGAAAGCCAAGGCTTGATCAAAAGTCTGTTTGCCTCGAAAGCACAAAATTCTTTGCCATACTGTCCATTGTTTATTGAGGAAATTATGGAAAATACAGAGAAGTATAAAGGAGAAAAACCATTAACCTCATGATCTTAACCCCAAGAAATAACTCATCTCAATGTTTTTTATTGAATTTCATCTAATCTATGCCTTTGTTATTACATCTCTTTTCAGTAGTCAATAAATGCAACTCAGCCCAAATATCAGCTCCTTGGTGTTACTTTACAATAAAAAGGCAGGGGAAGAGCACCTTGATTTGGGAGTCTCTAGCATCTACTCCATACCTCTGTAATGGTATTTGCCACATCACAATTAACCAAGCACCTTCAGACAGGGATTTGTCTAATTTCTATAATTCCAGGGCTTGACATAATGCTTTAAGCTTGGAAGATTTTTAGTACATGTTCACAGTATGAATAAACATATACAAATGGAATACAAACAATATAAGTGATATATATCAAATTTGGCATTCTTAGGAAAGAAGACATGTTCTTTTTCAGATTTTTGTTTTTCAGGGAAATTTACCTTTTGCCCTGGATGGATCTGCAGATATCTTCACAGATTTCTGAATCCAACACTGCAAGCCTTTTTGAACAAATTTACCTAAATATCCACTTTCTGATTAGTCTGGGTTTTCAGAGACCCAAAATGCCAATAGAGGCCACTGCACCAATGAGGCATATAGGAAAGCTTTTTCAGGATTTATTGTTGGAAATGCCCCCCCTCCCCAGCCAAAAGAGCAGTAATAGTTTTTAGGAGGCTTATCACTGAGTGCTTCATTCAGAGTTAGTGTTTCAAAACTACATAGAGAAATAAAACGGGCTGTTTTCACTAAAACTTCTTGCCTCTAAAATCACTGCTTCCTCTATTCTTTCACCCATAATTCTCACCTCTTGTATCTAGGAGGCCCAAAGACAGTAGTTTAGATAGAAACATAAGAAGAAAAGGGAACTTAGATGGAAGGCAGTTTGTTTTAAAATGATTGATGGAAACACTTGAGACTGGTCCCTTCCCTACACCGTAGATAACACAAAACTTCCATCATAGATATCACTTCTTTCAGGAAATCTCCCCAATCCCCCAACCCCCAGATTGAGCCCATGCCCCTCGTCCCCACCTTCAGTCCCTCCATGGTGCGCCACCTATTTCTTATTGAAGCATTTAACACACACATAGTTTTACAATTGCCCAGCCACTTCTCTGTGTACCCTGGGAGACTAGAAGGTCTCTGAGTGCAGGGACTGAGTCTTGTTAGTTGTTGTAATTTTCATGTTCTATCCAAAGTCTGGCACATAACAGACACTCAGTAAATGTTATTAGAATGGAAGAAATACATGAATGAATGGATCTCAGCAACATTTGGTATGTGGGCAATGTACCACATTTACCAAAATAAAACTTGCTTTCTTTGCTTCCTCCACTCTTTTTCTTTCCTTGCTTACCCCCAATCTCTCCCCACCAAGCTCCTTTGTTAAGAGGCTGAGGCTTCTGCAGGACATTTTCCACCTTCCAGGTGTGTGTACACAGATGCAATCACAGCTGTCTTTGCTCGCCTTCTCTTACCTTTGCTCACACTTTGTCTGAAGTAGGTCACAGTCCCCAGGTGCAACACCTGGCAGATCACCTCCTTTCCCACCTGTTTCTTGGGGTCTTTGACCTGAAGGATGCTGGTAACAGAAGTGGTCCCATTTGGATTGGAGAGAATCTCAGTACTGTTTTCAATCCCTGATCCACGGACCTTCCAGGAGATCATGGGGGCTGGGCGGGCAGTGGCAGAGCAAGTGATATTTAGGTGGTCTTCAGAGTATTTGTAGTGAAGGAATACCGTGGGCTGCACTGGGACAAAAAAATAGAAAGGATCTGTTGTCAGTTAAGCCCCTGATCTGAATCCTGCATTCTCCTCACAGAGATGAAGGAAAGATCCTTATGAAAAGCCAGTGGGGACTAGAAAAATAAGTTGGCATATCCCACCCAAACGGAGGCCTTCCCAGTTCTTCCTGTGTCTAATTCTCTCACTTGCAGGATGAAGACTGGACTAGTACAAACCTGTGATGAGAAAGACCCTCTCTGTAGTTTGTCTCTAACAAAATTAGCTGGACAGACAGAGGATACTGAGAAGTCAGATGATACTCTTCTCTCCCAAACAATGCAAAGCCTAATTATTCTGTTCTTCTCTTCCACAGGCAATGCAACATCTCTGCCTCCTTCTGAGTATTCCTCTCAAATGGCTTGACAATAACCCTCAACCAGCTCCTCTACACAGGTAGCCTATACCTATCAGAAGCACCACGGCAGCTTCAGAACTGAGAACCCATAGGGCTTGCTGTAGACAGACAGTCATTTCTTGCTTGGAGCTGGATCAGTAGATGTGATTTATAGAGAAGACTTAGAAATCCCTTTTTGGAAGAGCTACACAGAATACCAGTTAGGAATTCATAGCTAATAACCAGAAAATTTTTAAACACATGACAGTTGAAAGGGCCTTGGAGATCACCTGATGGAGTTAATAGAAAATAACTAGTTTATGAGAAACAGACATTCTTTTCAGGCCAGCTGTAGCCTGTTTCCTTTTAAAAGTCCCCTGACAAAAAAGTTCATTTTTGTTGGAACCTCAAGTTGTGGTTCAAGGTGTGGCTGGAAAGGGTGAAGTGTGGAAGAGAGCAGGATTACTTGCCTGAAGGCTCAGGGGAGTCTAGTTTTCAGGAAAAAATTATACACAAGATTATGGGAAAAGGAAGGAGAATATGAGAAAGAAAGATGAAAGAAAAAGAAGAAGAGAAAAAAGGAACAGAAATGAGAAAAATATGACATAAGAAGGGAAAAGAGAAAAATGAGATGGGAAGAAGGAAGGAAGGATGGGAGGGAGAGAGAGAGAAAGAAAGGGAAGGGAAGGTAGGGAAAGAAAGACAGGCAGACACAGAGAGAATGAAAGAATTTATGTCAAGAAAAAAACCTGACATGAGATTCTGCAAAGAGAACAAATCATCATAGACAAAATAAATCAAAGAAACCTCTTTTGGAGTTGTCACATCTCCCTTACATTTTATCTACTAAGCCTCCTCTCCCCTCATGGGCAATAATCTTTGCATGCTTACACACTCACTTTAATATTCCTAATAATGCTGTCTAAGTTTGTCTTCTCCCTCCTTAAACCAACATCAAGTGTGTTATGCTCCAAAGTTATCCACTAAATCTACTTCCTAATCTTTCATTTCAGCTATGTGTTAGTTAAGAGGAAAAGAATTTCATCAAACCAAGCCTCTTGAATTTTAAAAGAATGCTTAGCATCCAATTATATTTCTAGTTGGCACCATTTAGGTATAAAAAGCCTTTGCTGCATGTGCCCTTATTAATATTCAAAGAGCAACTGATGCAAAATGAAAAGGAGCATTATACCTGGCTCCAGATTAACCCAATCTCACTCTGTCTTCAGTTGCAAAAACTTAAAGTTGTAAGGGACCAACCCTACTTATTTCACACTTATTGTCCAGACCAAGAAACGTCAGTGCCCAGACTGGATAGAATCCTTCTAGGGTCATATTACTGCTGATGGCAAAGCCAGGTATGAATCACATTGCTGCTTACGGAGAACTTTTTGCCTTCACCATTGTCCTCAGTTTACTCTTGCTGATAGCAAGATCCCTCAGAGAAAACAAATCTCCAGCCGAAGAACTCAATGAAGCCCCATGAACTCTCAGTAACATGAAAGGTTAAGTGTCTTCTCATGAGCATTTCTGTGACTAGGACCCTGAAAAAACTAGACACTATGATAAACATTCTCAAAAATAGTATTTCCAGACAGAGACAATATATTCTGAGACTCTCACCATAGAGGGTGAGGCAGGCTGTTCCTGAGATCTTCCCAGAACCAAAGATATTGAAGAGACACATGTAACACCCTTCATCCTCCAGGGTGGTATTCCAGAAGGTGATTGTTGAGTTTTGGAGTCCCAGCTCAGTGATGTTCATCTTGTTCTTATAGGCTGGCTGGACTACAACGCCATGGAGCTCACTGAAGGTGGCCAGGTTTTCTGGGCTTGTAGCCTTCTTTTTCTGCCATGTCACAACTAAGACATCCTGGGAAGTTTGTAGAGAGCACCTTAAGGAAGCAGGTGTGTTCAGCCTCTCTCTTTGATCCTCAGTCACCACTTCCACTATAGAATCATAAAAGAATATTGATATTTAAAATTTTTAATACATACACATACATACACACTTTTTCCTGATTACAAATACAATGTATGTTCAAAGCCAAATATTAAAAAATAGAGAAACATGCAAAGAAAAAAACTGCATTTTTTTATATTTCTACATTTTGCTAGAGAAATATAGGTTCAAATGTTTGTTCAATCTTTAAAAGTATAGTGGAAGAGTAGAAAAACAGGAAAGCCAACTCTCAGTTACCAGAAATAGTGAAGAATCCCTGTAAGCTTGAAAGTAGGTAGAATGAAATTGAAGATGGAAACTGTCAGATAGGATAGCAGTATCACCAAGTATGTCCATACTTGGAGAGGTAGAAGCCCAGAAGAAGAAAGAGTCAAAGGACAACAAGCAGAGTGATCCATTTAGGTAAAGATGATGAAGCAGTCCTGTACACTCCACACACACACACATATACACACACATACTACACAGGAAGGGTCAGTACAGATGTGTCTGCCTCCAGGAAGCAGGAGTGAGTATAGGAATACAAGGGAGCGAGATATACAGGACAATACTCTGGGAGGCTGGCAGTACCAGAGAGGATCTTGAAGCTCTGACATCCAAATGACAATCCATACTTTCCCCATTTTCACTAAATGGCATCATAATAATTTCTTCCCTGCTCCAATACTAGCTACTCATACTATGATAGATGATTTAATGGGAAATCTCAATATAATAAATAAAAAATAGTCAAACATTTGAGGAAGCTAACATAATGAAAGAGGAACAATAAACTTTACAAACTGAAGAACTTATACCAAATAAATAAAGCTATCATAAATCAATGAACACTTGGACATGAATAAATATGATATACTAAGTATAATAATAGTCAGCATTGTAAATAGTAGAAATTAGAGATGAGAAATATAAAAGCTCAATATATTGACTGACTTAGAAGAATGGATACCATACTAATAAAGACTAAATTAGTAAGTAGGAAGACCAGGCCATGGGATTCTTCTAGAATGTAGCAGAAAGGGATAAGAATAGGAAAAGGATTAACGAAAAATTCAATGAGTAGATTTAAATGTTTCAACATCAATCCAATTGGACTTCTAAAAGGAGAGAAAAAAGAGAATAAAAGACAAAGCACTGTAATGGAGAAAAAGTATTTTTCAAAATGACAAAAGGAGCAATTTAAAATAATATATGTTAATCATGAACTTTCATGCACCTAACAACATATCTCTGAAATACATAAAGCAAATATCAATAGAATTCAAAAGAAAAATCTATAAACCCCAAATCATAATGGGAGTTTCTATACTTCTCTCAGAATCTTCAACTCCATCTATTTAAAATCTTGTAGCAAAAAGTCATATATAAGGATATAGAAAATTTGAACACAATATATATTTTATATATACTTTATATGTTTAATAAAAATAATTAATACATTTATATATACTAATATATTTTATGTATGTGTGTATACATATGCACATTTATGAACTGATATATATATATACACACAATTTACTCAGAGAGAGAATGTATAATCTTTTCAAAACACACACGTAACATTCCCCAAAACTGAACTAAAAATAGTCTGTAGAAAAATTGCTACCTTATAGATGTAAATACTGTCCACAATGCAATAAAATTAGAAGTTTACACACTTTTTTTTTAACTCCTGGGTACACCAGCAATTGCAGTATAAATCATAAATTATTATAACTGAAATACACCGACAGCATAAAATGTTAAAAATCTGTGGAAATGGGTAAGGTAGTCCTCAAAGGGACATATTTAATTTTAAATACATTTAGTAGGAAACAAGAGACATTGAAAAACGAATCCATACTTACTTCCATACCTTCTACTTCCCTTTCCCAAAAATAGGAGTCAATTAATAAAGACAAAAGACCAATTAATAAAATGGTACACAAAATGTAGACTTGATTAGAAACAATAAAATTTATTTTTAAGACAAATAATATAGATAAATATTGGCAAATATAAATATAAAAAACAAAAGACTACACACACAGCAGCTCCCAACAGTATCAGAGATGAAGAGATGGGCATAACAAATACCAACTGGAACACTTGATGCTTGTATAACTTGAGATTAAATTATGTGTTCTCTTGGAAGAAGTGAAAAGTTTTGGGAGGCAATACCTGTTGTCAAGGTTGAGGTTTCCTACGGTTTGTTGAGATTTTGCAGAGAAAAGATTAGAAGAAATTGTTGCTTTTAGAATGAGGAGTGGAAAAGGGATTAAGACTAGAGTTTAACTCTTGGATGACTTTTTTTTTCCCTTTTGACTTTGGAATAAATCATTTAGTGGAAAGTTTACAATTCTTTGCTGCTGATATGGAATTCCATTTAGATTCCTCCAGTCAGTTCAAGTAAACACTGTAATGGGTACTGCCGACCAGGGTGGTAGGTAGGCATGAAGCCCGCCCACCCACTCTTCAACGGCATTCAGCCTGCAAACTGAGGAGCATGGCCTCCCATGGGACAGAGGAGGAAGAACTGGGAAACACAGCAGATAAGTAGATGAGACAGCTACATTTTTTATACAACAGGTAATGTCAACCTACATAACTTCTATATTTCATTATTTTCTACATTTTCCTATAAAAAGGGGATACACCCAATTTTAAGGCTTTACTGCCCAATAACCTTCCAAAAAGATTGTAGTCAGTCATACTCCCCCAAGTATTTCCATATCCTTACAAACACAGGGAATTATTATTCTAAAAAGTCTTTCAACTTAGTACATAAAAAATGACATTTTAACTTAGAATATTTTTCATAAGCCTGATTCATCTATGGAAACAGCTGCTAAATACCAAAATGTTCTTCTACATTGAAAACAAAATTGTGCAAAGTGAAAAAAACCCACTCCACTCCTCCAGGCAAACTACATGTTTAAATAATTCATGCAGACACATGGAACCAGCACAGCACAAACAATAGTGGCCAAATGTCTCTACCCCAGAAGCTGTGTTTGCTGGACTCCGAGCAGGGGAAGTGATCGTCTTTACCTTGTGCTGCGCACAGCACCACTGCTGCCATGCCCCAAATCAGGCTGTAGGTAGACAGATGACAGAAGGGCCTCCTGAACACCTAAAGACAGAAAGCAAAGTACAGAAATGGGGGTTTGGATTTGGACAAAGCCAAGGAAGCTTCAGGGAATGTCGAGGTATGTTTCTACTCACTAAAGAACTTTGGTTTTGTGGGAGCAGAACCAGAGGCTATAAAGGGAAGAAATAACAGTGTGCTCAAGATTTAGCGAGGGAAAAGCAGCAGTATGGGTTCTTTGTGGCGGCAAGCCCTAGCAATTTGGGACCTTGCTCCTAAAGCCACCATTGTCAAGAGCAAGGCCTCAAAGATATAGGATCACTAGGGAAAACCAAACTGCTTTATATAAATACAGAAAAGGCAGAGAATACAAATGTTAGACAGCATTCACTACCCACGAAATCCACATCTGTTAATATTTAAAGTGTAACTCAGGGGTAACCACTTTTTGGAAACATTATACAATTGCCTTGAATTTCAACATGGCTGATATTCTTCTTGCAAATGCTGCAAGTTTTATATAAATCATACCTTTTTTAAAACCAGTACTGGTTTTAATTTTTTTCTTTATTGCTTTATTTTCATGTATGTGGGCATAAATCCTTGGCCTTCTTACAAATCATGGTGGTATTTAAGTGAATGTTATTCTGGGCATCATTTTGCTGTAAAATGAGCAGGCAGGGTACAGACAGTTGAACTTCTCTCTGCAGTAGCACCATGTATCCATTAATTTGGTCTACATGTGTGTTCATTCTAAGGAACACAGGCTAGAAATTTAACTGTTCTCTGTGGTTTCCCTAGATTCCTATATTTTTCTATAATAGAGATGTGTAAGAAATATCATCTCCGTATTTTTCTTTAAATGAAATTTATTTTTATTTCATGTTACCATTCCAACTGGACGTATAAACTTAATTTCAATCAATGTTGCAGAAGCTCTGTTAATTCAGTCTCCCACCACCCCAAGACTCCATGGTTGTTTCAATCTCTCACATTGCATCTACATTCCTGGGGGCCTTGCATAATATGCATAACATCAAGCCGTGGGATGGCGCTACTCATCATTGGCTGCAACCATCTATTCTCTTGGCATTCACTAAGATGACTGTGTTCCTCTCAAGTCATCACAGTTACCGGTTTGTGCAAGTATTGCTTACAAGGCAAGCCAGTGTTCTTTGGTGTTCTCCTAGCCTGCCCCTAGTTTCTGTCAGTACTGAGTGAAAGTCTACAGGCTCTCTGCCTAAACTCCCAGGTATCTGTCCATCTCTGTTTTATAGTTCCCTTGCCATGATGGACAGACATGCTGCTTCCCAAAGTCTTCCCCAGGGAAGTTATGCACAGGGACTTTCTTTTCTTGATTCTCAACAACAGCTTGCAGGTTCCAATTTCCACTCCCCTGAATTCCCCAGTTCAGGTAACCAGGCACAGAGCCTTCTTTTCAGGATGCATACTGGTGTCTAAGCATTGACATCAGTCTGTCCCTTTTTGCTCTCCTAGCCTAGAAAATATTTATTTCCTCTAGGGTCAGAAAACCTGGCTCCTCTATCACCTTGCTTTCTTCCAACCAGCTCTTTCTGGCATGAACATTATGTCCTTGGTCTTTCGGTATTTTGGCTTTTGAAACTCAAATGCTTAGGCCCTTGCTGTTGCAAAACTTTGGCTTCTGAAACAAAAAGGTCTTTTCTGATTTTTTGTAGTAGTATTCCTCCTCTAAAGCGGTGGGTGCTTGACTGTCTGATTTGAAAGGCCAGAGGACAAAAATAAATTATTGGAATAAGAAAACCACACCAAACAATATATCAAAATAATACTCCAACTTATACTTTGCATAAGGTGACTAAACTACTGACATTTTTTGAACATTTATTATGTACCAGAAATTGTTCTTAGCACTTGACATAATTATTTCATCTAATATTTCCTATAATCCTATAAAGGATACATTATTATTATCACCATTTTCCTTTTATTAAGTATGCCATTTAAGGACTTTAATTTTATGTTATCACCATTTTCAAAATGAAGAATACTAGGCACAGAAATGTTAAGTAGCTTGCCCAAGGTCTCACAGCTATGAAGTGATAGAGACAGGATTTAAACCCAGGCAGTCTGACTCAGAGTTTATAACCACTATGCCATCTTGCCTCTCCTATGTACAAAGTATTGTTGGTTTTAAAATTTGCATACATTAGTATAAAATTATGTTGTTACTGCCTATGATCACATCACTATTGTGAGGAATTACCAAATTGCCAGGCATACAGCAGTTTCTGCTTCATTGCCCTGGAAGAATATGCTGAATTCAGTTTTGAAGCTGGTATTTGAGAAGCATTTAATGAGATTTCCACAGGGCCAAGCAATCTCTGAAAGCCACTGAGCAATTGTCTAGAAATGATACTAGTAATAAAGGATCTCCCAACCCGATGTCTTACCAGAGTTCTAGGCCCCCATTTCCCACTCTCTGCAGCTCACCACCTCCAAACACACTCTCAAATCTCACGTCACTATACTCTCCTTTTTGCACACCAAGCTCCACTTCACCATCTCCTTTCAAAATGCCTTGAAATCATCAAGCTCTTTCTTGCTTTAGTTCCTATATTTATGTTTTCCTTCTGCCTAGAAGGATCTCAGTTGAATAAATAAAATGAATGTGCGAATAAATAAATTTATGAATAACACCAAATTCATCATTGTTTTACCCCAAACAGCTTCTTTTCTGAACTTTTATCTCCCAGGCACTCAAATACTCCAGGACTTCATCTTCTCCCTTTCCCCAGACATGTTTAATTAGTCCTTATACATAATTGGGTCAGGATGGTTGTCAAATGATGGTAATATACCTGCAGGAATTTCATCAGCTCATTCTCAATGTTTGCCTTGACTAAGCCCTGTTTTGGCTATTCTTTTTAGATACAATGACTTTCTATAGTCTATATTCTTTTTAGATACAATGAACTATAGTTCATTTTCTCCAACACTCTAACCTGGATCTTTCTGTTTGCCCTTCAATTTCTCTGAGATTTCTATTGTTCTATGACAATCTTCTTCCTGTGGACATAGGAGTAGTGGATGAGGAAATAGGGTTTTTGAAGATCTAAATCTCTCCTCCTTTATTTAACACAAGGATTTCTCTTTCCTTTTCCTGTCCTGTGGGAACCACACCAATTCTAATATCCTCCCTTCTTCCTACTCTATGGATTTGTTAATTCTGGTTAATGCATGCCCTTTTCTTCACTTGGGAAATAGCCATGACCTTAACCTAATGAAGAAAATGCTAAAGAGAAGTGCCAACCCAGTTTAAACCAAAAGATATTTCACAAACATTTATTTCATTACATCAGCTTCATTTTTCCTTTGGCAAGACAAGTCACTAACCAAGTTCCTTCACAGGTAAGGGTAGAAAATTACCTTGTAATCATTGACAGTGTTCCTACCCAGGGGTATAGCTGTAAAGAGAGGGGCCTCAATTGTCCTGGTCAGGGCCTGTGGTTTGGGATCAAGGAGGTGGTGAACATTGGAACCAGTCTTGTCTCAGCTCTCCTGGGGCCAACTTATGCCCTAGGAGTGGTTGTATATGGAGCACCAGAGCTGTCAGTTTGCGGGAAGGCCTGGCATTGAGCATCACACTAGAGACTACCTTGCTCTAAAAGCACTCTTCAGCATCCACTGTAACTGCCAGAGATGAACAGTCTCTGTCACAGTGTTCCTGGTGGATCTTTCAGCATGGATGTTCTAGAAGGCATCATGTCTCACCTCCCTGGGGCCCATTTCCAGTATTACCCCATGCCTGAGTGCCTTGTTGTCTTACACATGTATTTTATTATTTAATACCCAGACACCCCCTGAGCATTCTATATGCCTTCCTTGTGACTTCTCCCCATGTCTTCACAGGTCTAAGGCCAACAACAAAGTCACTGTCCTTCAGGAAGTCAAAGATGATTCAGCTGTCTGAACACCACACCTGTTCACCTTATCCCCTCCTCTCACCCATTCCAGGTACCACATTCACAAAGGCTTTGGTTTTGAAGTGCCTGAGGAAGAACTTGACATTTTTCTCAGTATTATTGAGATTGCCCCACCCTATCTAATTGTGTAGGAAAGCCAGAAAAAAAAATCAAGCCAAATGTTTCCTTAGGCTCTGCTGTCAGTGCCCAACACATTTTGTTTTATTTTCAATTAAGTCAAATGTGGAGACAGATATTGGCATTCTAATTCCATGTCATTTTTAAAAACCATTATGCACGTCTCTTTCTCTTTCTCTCACATGGAAGCCCAGGCCCTAGCAGAGCCTGTGATGAGGAGAGCAGAGTGGATTAGCTTTCACAGCAGAAATCTGTGTTTTTAAGAGAAAATGCAGACACATACCAAAACACAATACTGTCTGGACTGGGAGCCAGCAACATTAAACAAAAACACAGTGATTGAGACAAAGGGAATCAGAAGGAAAGCCTTGCTCGTAAGTATATAAGTATTTTTATTTTATACAGTTTTTTCCTCTAGTCCATGCAGAATAACTGAAAGTACTAGCAACCTGAAAACAACAGTATTTATATTTACAGGTAGGCAACCTGGACTAAAACGAATGCTAAAATATCTGAGCTAGAAGAAATCATTTTGCCTCTCTAAGACTCAAGAAAAATAACAGTCCCAACCACATGGTTAAAAAGACCAAATGAAATAGTGTATGTAAAGCTCCCAGAATAATGATGATACAAAATTTGCACTAAATAAATGTTGCTGCTATCTCATGGGATTATTATGAGTATCGAGCATTTAAAACACTCAGTACAGTGCCTAGGCTAGAGTCAATGCCAATATTAATGAAAAAAATTAATCAAGCCATACATGGACAGTGCAATCATGAAAACAAAGACATCCACTTATAATCCTTGCCACGCAGGCCAGGGTTGACAAACGCCTAGGTCTTATTTGATAACTGCCCACCTGGCAGCTATATTAACCCTATACATACCTCTTTCTTTGCACATTTCTAAGTCCAAATCCTGATTGCACCAATGCAGTCACATGGACTTGGAAAAATTAACCTCTCCTCCTGTTTCTTTATTTGTAAAATTGGATAATGGTTCCTCGCAGGAAGGATAGTAGTGAAGATTAAGAGCATGTAGCCCGCAGTAGACACTAGCTCGCAGGCCACCATTCTCCTTTGTTTAGGAAGATAGTGAAATCACTGGCTGTGGGGTCTTGCCAACAAACGACAATATATATGAAAAAATTATCTTGAGGCACTAATTGTATTTGGATTGTTATCTAATTATACCAATGGGGTATATGAAAGCCCTCCCCTTCATTGTTTTTTGTTTTTTGTTTTTTGTTTTTTTTTTGTCATCTGAACAGATCTCAATAAACAAAATGTCTGTCCCTCTGGATACCCTGGGTCTTCACCCTTCCAGCAAACATGATCACGGAGCATTTCGATTCTTCCTAAAGCGAAGCTGGGCTTTCCCTTCCCCTTCATGGCTTCCCAAGGCAAGGGCTAGGAGGGAGGAAGGGGCTGGGCATCAAAGAGGGGGTGAAGGAGCTCTCCAGCAGGGAGCGAGCCTGGAATCGCGCATCCCCACCCCAGCTTCTGGTGCCCACACGGAGCCAGTACTGCATTTGCCATCCCCTTCTCGGGGCAGGGTAAAATGGGCTGTGCTCTCCTCCCCTTGGGAGCTGGGGCTGGTGAGCCGAGCCCGCCGCCAGCGCAGGGAAAGCGTCTCCGGGACCCCGCTAGTAGCATCCTTTTTCCGGGGAATTGGGATGTTGAACCGGGACGCCAGGAACGGCCTGTAAAGCACCCTTTGGAGGCAAAGCGCCGAGAGAGAAGCGCTGCCGTCAACACCACTGACAGCTCCGGGCTGGAGCGCGGAGAGCCGGCCGCAGAAGCCCCGCGCCCGCCGCCCGCCGCCCGCCGCCCGCCGCCCGGCGCGGCCTCGCCCGCCCGTCCGGCCCGCCGCTCCACCAGCCTCTCCATCCTCGCTCCGGCCCGCGGTGGCTGCTGGCGGCTGGAAAGCCCGGGTGCGGCTGTCAAGGATAAGGCTCGAGAGCGGGCTAGAGGGAGACGTCACCGACACCCCCGCCGCCCCCGCCCCGCCGCGCTCGGGAGCCGGGAGCCCAATGAGCGAGCGGATTCGGTTTATACTCATTTCTGCCTGTCTTCAAATATTTTCTATCAGGGGTGGCAATTGGAGAAACTGAGACAGTGTTTGGAAAGATAATTCACTTTTTCCATTTTCCTGTTGAAAGTGACTGAGAGAAAGGAAATGGGGTGAGAGGTAGGGGAGATGAATTGTTCACGAAACTGTTAGCATTTGAAGGAGTGGCCAATGTTTTCAAGTTGAATATATCCAATGGACACCTTAAAAAAAAACCGCTCATTTATTTTTTTAATCAAGAATCAAATTATATATTCAAGCAATTCTGTAAATTTTTTTCATGATATGATCAGTTATTTTCTTTAAAAAAATTTTTTTTTATTTCGGCATATTGCAGGGGTACAAACGTTTAGGTTACTTATATTGCCTTTGCTCCATACGGCATTTCAGCTAAAGTCAGAGCTTCAAGAGGGTTCATCTCCCAGACGGAGCGCACTGCACCCATTAGGTGCGAAAATACCCATCCCCATCTCTCCCGCCACCTGCCCAACACCGGATCAATGTTATTACTTATATGTGCACTTAAGTGTTGATCAGTTAATATCAATTTGCTGGCGAGTACATGTGGTGCTTGTTTTTCCATTCTTGTGATACTTCACTTAGTAGAATGGGCTCCAGCTCCATCCAGGATAATATAAGAGGTGCTTGGAGAATTTCCTTCCACTTGTGTTAATGATGAGGATTCTTTTGATTTTAACAAGTTCCAGAGTTCTTAGCTCTTTAAAAAAAAGGGGGGGGGGACAAAGAGATCAATGTTTACTTCCTGAAGCCTGTTTTACCACCACCACCCTCTGACAAGGTGCTGGGACCCAGCTTTTACTTTAAGAATCCACAGTTCTTTCTTCCTTCTCCTTCCATCTCTACTTTATTGAGCTGTGATTGACATACAAAACACTATATGTGTTTAATGTAAAGCCATACATGGCTTAATGATATTTCTGTCAACGACAGACCATAGGACTTATGGGACCAACGGTGGTCCCATAAATTTATAATATTGGTTTTTTATTGTACCTTTTCTGTGTTTAGATACACAAGTGCTTACCATTGTAAGAAACAAAAATCGTTAATGCTTTATTTAGTATTGTTAAATATATCCATTTTTTAAAATTTCAGAATATTATGGGGGTACCAACACTTTGATTACATACCTTTATTGTATGTATAGCATGAAAATATTTTCTCCTATTCTGTATGTTGCATGCATTTTTCAATTAAAAGTTTTTCAGAGATCCTCATTCAACTGTTTGTAAAAATATCCTCATATTTATTAGTTTCATATTTTTCTATTTCATATTTAGGTCTTTAAGCCTGAATGTCAGATTGATATGCAGTGTTAATTTTTGTTGTATGATCCAGATTTTCTAGCATCAACTACTATACAATGTGCTCTTTCCTCACCAATGAGGTCTATTTTCAGCTCTATCACATAGAACTTTTGCTTCCTTGTTTAATTATTTCTTTCCTCATAGTTACATAGAGTTTTTATTATTACGGTCTTTTTGTTATGTGTTAAAATGCATTGAGGAGAGATGCCTCTCTTTCATTTTTTAAATTCATATATCTATTCAGGGACACACACAAAGACTACATACCAATGTACACTACACACATGCACATGCGTATCATGGAATAAGTTTATTGGATTTCTAAAAAGATATAGCTGAAATTTTAATTAGTCTTCTATTGATTTTATAGATTAATTTAATTTTTGGAACATTGATATCTTTATGGCGAATGTGCTCCACCTATAAATATGTTTTCCATTTATTCAAGTCTTTCTTGATGTCTCTTAGAAAAGTTTTTAAATTTTTTCTCTGTAGGTTTTGTGTAATTTTTGCTAAGTTAATTCTTTGATATTTTTAATTTGTTCACTATAATTAATAACATTTTATTTTTTAATGAAATTTCCTAGCTGGTTATTAGTGGTTTAGGAATGTTTCTGGACTTTGTAAATTAACCCGTATTTGGAAGCTGTGCTACACTTTTATTAATTCAAAGTGTTTTTTTGATTGTGATATTTCACTAGCCTACACATTCATTTCTGTGTCTGTGAATGCAACAGTTGTGGTTGGCATTTATCTAACTCATAGATCATTTAACTCATAAAAGTAATATGAAGATCTTGAAAAATTTACATATGCAAATAAAAGCTTCCAGAATTTTCTGTTATATTTAAGTATTATTTTAAAGCCTTTTTAGGCATTGACATACTCACCCACTCTTGCCTTGATGCCATGCTGTGCTGTGCTGCTTGGAAAGGACAAATACTATATTAATATAGTATTCCATTTATATGACAAATCTAACACAGTCAAGTGGAACAGTGGTTGCCAGGGGCTTGCCAGAGAGGGGAAAAGAGAGGTATTCATCAAAGGGTACAAAGTTTCAGTTATGCAATTTGAGTAGGTCCTAGAGCTCTACTGTAGAGCATAGTGCCTATATTTACCAACATTGTAAATATCTCTGAAATAATGTCCCAAACTCAAACTTTTAAGTGAAAAATGGATGCAGCCTACAGAATAGGAGGAAATATTTTCATGCTATATATACAATAAAGGGATGTAATCAAAGCATTGCTACCCCTATAATATTCTGAAATTTAAAAAAATGGATGTATTGAACAATACTAAAACATTAACATTTCTGTTTCTCAAAAGATATAATTGAGAAATTTAATAGAGTGATGCCAAATAGGAAGAAGTAATCAATATCTAGTATGTAAAGGATCAGAGATAAAAAAATTTCTACAACTATAAACAGCCAACCAGAAATTACTTAAAGATGTAGACAAGACCTTCACAGGAAGGAAAACCTGAATGGCTAATAAATACATGAAGACATGTTCATGTTTATTAATAATCAGGAAAAAAAGCAAATCAAAGCAGTCATTCAGTTGCTCATGATGGGAGGTGTTCTGAATCAGGGGATAATTAGAAACATTCAAAGGCATTGATATTAATATAATCTCATCTGAAACCATTATTTTATGAAATTAGATTATCTATTTAAACACATCTTTGTTTTTATTTATTCCTATTAATAAAATGACAATTGCTGCTAAATTATGATAAATACATGATTTAATTGGGAACGTTAAATCTTAAATTTGAAGTATAAACAATGACAGCAAAAAATTCATATACTTGCCAATTACCTGCATGTGAGAAGAGAATGACTCATTTAAGTTTTCCATGGAAGGCTGTCTCAACTGGGGTGTTTGTTCACCCATATTATGTGACCTAGACATATAATGAAATTAATATATCCATAAGATGAATACAGCCCAAACACTCCCCCTCATGGCAGTACATTGTAAGAATATGCTTTGAATAAAAATTAGGAGATTTGGATTCAAATTTTCTTGAGAGATTGAACAAAATGCCTTTTCCAATGCTTGGTCCAGCATAAAAATACTTCAATTACAGAACTTGTACGTTTTGCCTACTTTGAAAGAGTCATAACTTATGATTTGTCCTCTTGAAGAACAGAACCACTATACTCCCAAATTTATACCATTGGTCCTTATCTGTCAGATTCACATATAAAGATACTTAATTAACATATTCCCATAGATGTAAAATAAGAATGTTCAAAATAGAACCCTTGATTCTCCCTCCAAAATTTATTCTTCTTCTAATTTCCATATTTATAAAAGTTTTCTTCATCTAATGCCAAAAAACTTATAATCATCAGGATAATTCTTCCATTTCACTTTTCCCCAAAAAACGTTCCTTCAGCAAATCGTGTCATCCTAAACATATCCCTAATCCCTCCATCCCCACTGCTATTACTCCAGCCCAAACCACTATCAACTCTCATCTTGACTACTGCGATAGTCTCTTTAATAAAAAATCTCATTCTGATGGGTATATACAACCACAACGAGTAAGATGTGCAACATTTGGGGGATGGACACACTTAAAGCTCTTACTCGAGGGGAGGGGGGGCATGGGTAATATATGTAACCTTAACACTTGTACCCCCATAATACACTAAAATAAAAAATAAATAAAGGGGGAAAAAAAGAAATATAACCAAAAAAAAAAAAAATCTCATTCTTTACTTCTAAGAAACCTTGTTCCTGTTCTAGCAAGAGAGATCTTTTACAAGTATAAATCAGATCTTCGTGCTCCCTTGTTTTAAACAGTTCCATGGATTGACATTATGGATAATAAAAAACCCCAATGCTTTCCCAGGACTGTGGGTCTTACCTGTTCTGGCTCTGTCCCTCATTTCCAAAGCATTGTTTCAGCTACACTGGCCTCTTTTTTCTTGAGACACACCACACTCATTCCCATGTTAGGACCAGAGCTAACCAGCTAAACATTCCTTTTTGTCTGGAACACTCTTCACCATGAATTTTTGACTCATACCTTTTTTTCTTAGTCAGTTATCAACTGAAATGTCACCTCCTCAGAAAGACCACCCAACATAAACTAGCCCCATAGTCTCTTTCAGTCTTACCATTCTGTCTTATTTTCTACACAGTACTCATCACCACCTGGTATTTTCTTATTTCCTTTTATTTTTCAATCATCTATTTTTCTCTGGTAGAATATAAGTTCCTCAAGGCAGAGAACTCATCCGTTTTATTTGTGTCTCTGTCTTCTACACTGAGAACAACGCATAGCATAGAGGCACTCAAAAAGTACTTCTTCAATAAATGAATGGATAGTTCATTACATTAGTCTTATAAAGTAAGATCACTTTCACCTCATCATGGCTTTGTCAGGTAGACTTATCTCAAGCTTTTAATCTCAGCCTTTTCACCACTCAGTGATCCCCCTCCCACCAGTTGTCTGGAGTCCATATGCTCTCTCCTGTAAAAATTTGTCCTCAATAAAGAATCTTAAATTCAATTTACCAAAAAGCATAGATTGTTACTAACTAACAGCCTACC